AACGTGACTCCTACTGCGCAATGAAATAGACACGTGACTCCTACTGCGCAATGAAATAGACACGTGACTCCCACTGCGCAATGAAATAGACACGTGACTCCTACTGCGCAATGAAATAGACACGTGACTCCTATTGCGCAATGAAGTAGACACGTGACTCCTACTGCGCAATGAAGTAGACACGTGACTCCTACTGCGCAATGAAATAGACACGTGACTCCTACTGCGCAATGAAATAGACACGTGACTCCTACTGCGCAATGAAATAGACACGTGACTCCAACTGCGCAATGAAATAAACACGTGACTCCTACTGCGCAATGAAATAGACACGTGACTCCTACTGCGCAATGAAATAGACACGTGACTCCTACTGGGCAATGAAATAGACACGTGACTCCTGCTGCGCAATAAAGTAGACACAGATGGCCGAATACACTTACCATAGCCCATCAAATGCACAGACGATAGCATTGTGCCGCCACAAATTTCAGAAGAATCGCCAGAACATTGTTCGTTACAGTCGGATTCGTCAGCATGTCCGTACGTATCATACGAATTACCACAATAGCATTCGTCGCCCGCCTGGACACCAGCGTACTGGCTGCTAGCAGCACGTTGTGTACAGAATCCAATGCATGCACCCGCTGTCATCCCGTCATACCCAGTTTTACTGGCTGAACTAAGTGCCCGGGGCGTCCCGTCATTGAAGCAACCCATGTAGCTACCAATACCTGCAGAAAACACACATAATTATTTGAAAGGATAAATAATTGATGAAAAATGTATATATAAATGTTTCAATAAAGTTCTTCGACACTCCATTCGAATCACCATTCGAATCTTTTCCATGGTAACAAACCAACAAAAAAGTACCCGGATGTGTGACATTGGGGGGAGGGGTACTTACGTATCTCAGCCACGGATATGCTGGAGTCGCCTCCACAGATTTGACTTGAGTCCGCAGAACAAGGCGTATTGCAGTCTTCATCAACACCTTCCCCGTATGTATGATACGTGGTACCGCACGTACACACAGTACCCTGTACACCAGCGTATATCACCTCCAATGGCGACATGGACTCGTAGCAAAAGTTAACGCATTCAGTTGCTGTGACGTCACTCGAATCCCATTCAAACATATCAAGAGTACGTGGGGTGCCTTCATTGTAACAACCTATTGGTATACTCTCTCCTGGAAAAGAAGAACAATAAAAAAATAAAATTGTTTGTTTTTTATCACTCTTCCAATACAGAAAATATTATGACTAGATATGTTTCAGTTCACTACCAATGCCTCAACGTGAGAATTATGTGGGCACATATTTTGCTATTTTCCGCCATCTTTGATGCAATTTATTCATTTCATGTAATACGCG